CACTGATTGTATTAAAGAAATATCATGATAATACACCAGACCGAGCTGGCGCTTTATTTTGGCGACGAGATTTGGCCCTTATTGCAATAGGGTTTCGTACTATGAGAAGACCGGGTGAACTATGCGCTTTAAGATTAAGTGATATTGAAAACAAGAATGGCCTCTTATGGTTAAAGATCAGAAGGTCAAAGAATGACCCGTTCGCAAATGGTAAATTCGTGCCGATAGAAAGAATAGATAGCATTTACTGTCCTGTGCGACTTTTAGAAAAATATTTGGAGATTAGACCAGGTACAAAGAAAGACAGCCCTTTATTCCTGTCAAACTCCGGGAAAGAAATGTCGGTTACAGCAGTATCGTCAATAGTGAGACGTATGACAGAAAATGCAGGAATAGTAGGTCGCTTTACTTCTCACAGCCTGAGAATCAGTGGAGCTACAGCAGCCATGAAAGGCGGGATGAGTCTAACACAGATCAAGGCCATAGGGGGATGGGATTCTAAGGCGGTATTGTTATATTTAAGATCAGTAGCCACTACGCAGATTTATGCATCCAGGATAATGGGATTTTAACGGTGCTTTATGGCATATATCATAATTATGTATATGTGAAATAAGAGTGTTGACTGTTGAGCAGTATTTATGTAATTGCTATACCAATTTATTCTTCGATCCTCTTTAAATCCCGTATATGGTTTAGTCGTATTACGGTTTACTAGAATCATCAAATGAGTGACAAAATGAAGGCTACTCGAGACAAAGTCACGAGTAGCTCTTTTTGTCACGAAACCCGTTCAACTCCAATAGACATTATTTCATGCAGGGGTAGTATGGCACAGCACTTGATTGCAGGGGCAAATCAAGTGATGTGCAACAATGCAATTCTGTAGCTATGACGTTACGATTAGTAATGAATAGGGGTATTTATAGTTTGGATATTCTTTGATTTAAATTTGACTTTTCGCTTTGCTGTCGCTTGATTCTAGAGATCAAGTTTCCCTCCCTTCCCCCCCTGTGTCTGACTAACTGCATGAGTGGTAACGATGTTGCAAGTAGAGCAACAACAAACCAATTTGATAAGCTACAGGGTTGCATCCGGGTACCCCCTCTTTTTGTTTTTGGTTGCAGCTTGGCCTTACGGGTCAAATGCAAGTTTTTGGGGCAGCTTGGCCTAACGGGTCAAATGCTTCCACGAGATGTAGTAAATTATAATGGTCTTACACTTGCTATTGCATACTAATAATCCCAACCTTGTTTAAATCTAGAACAGACTCGATCCTAGGGAAAAGCTGTGATACACGTGACAGCAAGGCACCTCCCGTATATGGTTTAGTCGTATTACGGTTTACTAGAATCATCAAATGAGTGACAAAAAGTATAGTATGGTGTTTAATTTTGGTCTATAATATACTGATCTGGTCACCCATTCCATACTTAATATCATTTCGGCACAGGATACATTGATCGTGAAAAATTCATCCATTACGCGCACGAATAT